AAAGCACAGGACATAATAGCAAGAGTTAACAAATGGGAAGTATCCTTAGCCACTAAGGAAACAAAAGCCAAAACCATGTGAGGTTGCATTTCTTCTCAGTCAGAGGTGATCATTTGGAAAAGAAGAGCAATGCCAGTCGGTGGTGTACGCCTTTAATCCCAACTTTCTGAAGGCAGAGACAGCAGATCCCTGTGAGTTCCAGGTAAGTCTGGTCTACAGAGCAAGTTCTAGGACAGCCAGAGCTACACAGAGAAACCCTGTCTCAAAAAACCAAACCAGAAAGAAAGGAAGGAAGGAAGGAAGGAAGGGGAAGGAGCAAAGGACTTGAGTCACCCACAGCTCAGCAATTCAGAGCACCTTTCTATTCTTCAAAAGAACCACAGTTAGGTTCCCAGCACCCACAGCAGGCAGCACACAATCACCTGTAACCCCAGCTCCAGGGGACCCAATGGGTCCTCCTGCCCTCGACAGCCACCTGCACATAAGTGACATATACATACACAGACACAGACACATTAATAAAAGTAAAATTATAAATCTGTAGAAAAATAAAAAATAAAGCCATCAGATTAGGCAAGGATGTGGAAGGGTAAGGAGACCTTGGTCTCACTATTATGGAAACCAACAAAGAGATTCCCCCAAATACTAGATCTGGAACTGCTATAACACTCTTACATGTGTAACTAAAGATTCAAGGTCAGCACATAGAACTATGACTCATAGGGTAAAAGCAGTTGCTGTGTAAGTGAGATCATCTCAGTTCAGTCTTCATGAGAGAAGCAACCCCCACCCAGCATACACACACACACACACACACACACACACACACACACACTCATATTTAGTAAAAGTCAGCATGTAATAGAAACACACTTAAACTCATATTTGTTGTCTCACTCTTGTTTTGTGTATGTATGCCACTATTGTATATGTGCATATTTATTAATAAATTACATATTAAGAAGAAAAAGAACTCAAGTCAACAATCCAACTGCAACTCAAAGCACCAGAAAAAGAAGCCCCATAACACTGGTTTGGGTCATGATTTCTTGAATTACTGCTTGAAGCGTAAGCAACAAAAACAATATACAAGTAGGATAACTTCAAACATAACTCGGGCCTGAGGCAGTGTATCAGTAGTAAGGCGTGCACTTAGCATGTGCAATACTCTGAGTTCAATCTCCAGCATGGAGGAACACACAAACACATAATTAAAATTCATGACCCTCAAAGCACACAGCATAGTGAAAAGCAAGTTATGGAATGGGAAAAGATTATTGAAAATTATATCTTGGAAGAGGCTAATATAGAGAATATAATCTTATTTTTTTTTTAAGATTGATTGATTTATCCCTGCAGGCCAGAAGAGGGCACCAGATCTCATAACAGATGGTTATGAGCCACCATGTGGTTGCTGGGAATTGAGCTCAGGACCTCTGGAAGAGCACCCAATGTTTCTAACTACTGAGTCATCTCTCCAGCCTGAGGATATAATCTTAAGAAGGCTGAAGAGTACTTGTTGCTCTTGCAAAGTTTCTAGGTTCAGGCTGGAGCAATGGCTCAGCAGTTAAAAGCATTGGCTGCTCTTCCAGAGGTCCTGAGTTCAATCCCTAGCTACCACATGGTGGCTCACAACCATCTGTTTTGAGACGTGCCCTCTTCTGCATAATAAATAAGTAAATCTTATTTAAAAAAAAAAAAAGGAAAGAAAGAGACAGAGAAAATTTTCTAGACTCAGTTCCCAGTACCCACATGGTAGCTCATAACCATCTGTAACTACAATTCCAGGGATCTTATGAGAACACCAGGCATTTACATGGTGCACATACATGCATGAAGGCAAACCACTTACGCATAAAAGTTAAAAGAATATATATTACGGCCAGGCGGTGGTGGCACATGTATTTAATCTCAGCACTTGGAAGGCAGAGGCAGGGGGAACTACAAGAGCTAGTTCCAGGACAGCCTCCAAAGCCACGGAGAAACAGTGTCTCGAAGCCCTCCCCCCCCAAACAAGAATATATATATTATAAATGCTTAGAATTCAACAAATACTTCCCTAAGTAGTGAGCAAACTTGAGTAACTCCATGAAGAGATACACAACACCATTAGAGAACCCCAAGTCAAATGTAGAATGAGTTACCACCTCTCCCCCATTAGAACAGCCACTACCTGCCGGGTGTTGATGGTGCACACCTTTAATCCCAGCACTCGGGAGATAGAGGCAGGCGGATCTCTGTGAGTTCAAGGCCAGCTGCTCTCCAGAGCGAGTGTCAGGATAGGCTCCAAAGCTACACAGAGAAACACTGTCTCTCTTGAAAAACCTAAATAAATAAATAAATAAATAAATAAATAAATAAATAAATAAATAAATAAATAAATAAATAAATAAATAAAAGAACAGTCACTACCAAAGCTGAGGAATTGCTGAGGATGTAAATAAATGAGCCAGTCACTATAGAGAACAGTATAACAGCTTAACTAGACATTATAAGATCCAGATCTTACTGATTTCCAGCGTGACATAGTTGAGAATCAATGAAGGACGATCTGTATACAGTAAGTAAAAGAACTGGATCTCAAAGTTATCTGCAGGCTGTCATTCATTGTAGCATCATTTCCAATGTCTAAGAGATTGGAGCAACCCAAATTCCACTGGCAGACAAAATGGGGAATACATGTATAATGTAAGTTTTCCATAGGAGAAAAAGGAAATGTTGACACAGGCCACAAAATACACCTTGAGAATATTATGCCAATAAAAATAAGCCAACTACAAAAAGCAAATAGTATTATAAATCCTCCTATCTAAGGGACCTAGAGTAGCTAGCCTCACAGAAACAGCAAGCAGTGGGGCGCAGGAGATGGTTCCCTTGGTAAAGTGCTTGCTGTGCAAGCATGAGGACCTGAGTTTGGATCTCCAGAACCTATGTGAAAAAGCCAGGTGCCAAACATACCTGGAATTCTAGTGCTAGAGACCAGAGACAGGGAGATCCCTAGAGCTAGATAGTCTACCTCAACAATGGGGCTAGCTGGCCAGACAGGCTATCTCAATCAACATGGAGCTAGCTGGCCAGAGAGGCTATCCCAATCAACAATAGGGCTAGCCTACCAGATAGTCTATCTCAATCAACAATAGAGCTAGCTGCCCAGACAGTCTATCCCAATCAACAATGGGCTAGCTGGCCAGTCTATCTCCAGTAAGCTCCAAGTCTAGCAAGAGACCCTGTTGATGGGCTGCAGAGATGGCTCAGTGGGTAAGAGCAAATACTGCTCTTCCAGAGAACTCAAGTTTGGTTCTAGGACCCATGTCAGATGGTCCACAACTGCCTGAAACTCTAGTTCCAAAGCATCTAATACCCCAGACCTCCACAGATGCCTGCTCTCTTAGGACCATAACACCCCCCCTCCTCATGCACACACACATGCATGTACACATTAAAAGAATAAATAAAATCTTTTGAAAAGAAAGTGTTGATTACAATGGAGAAAGAGGAAGACACTGGACATCAACCTCTGGCCTTTACCCCTCACCCCACTCTCACTACACACACACACACACACACACACACACACACAGTAGAATCATGGTTGATGGGGCCCAGGGATGGGGAAAATAGGAGGTTGCAGTGTTCCATAGTGTTAGGAGCTAAGCATATGATGAAGCCTTAACTGAAAAGGGACTATATCTACAGATGAAGTCTTTAAATATGCATGTAATCGATATTAAAAGAGGTCACATGTGTATGACCCTTAAAAGCAGAGAAGAAATGCTTTCGTGCGCAGAGCACAGGTTATGTGCTCCAAAGACTGAGAACTCAGAAATCCCCAAGCAGTGAAAGCGTCTGTCCCCATCCTCTATCCCCCCAACACACACACACCCTGAACCACCTGCCAAAGGAACTTCTGCCCTCTACAGCTATGAAAATATAAATTTTCTGTGACTTGAGACATAGTCTGTGGCATTGTTATGATTGCTCAAGTGACTCAAATGAGTGTAGAGTTTCAGGTTGCAAGATGAAAGTTATCGGTGTGTACTGGCCAGTGACCAGTAATAACATAGTATCTCTGTACCACACACTGAGTAAATGACTGGTAACCAGTAAGTATCAATGAGTTTTACCTCACCATGACCAAATCGTCTACTAGAAGCAACTCAAGAACAGTGATTTATTTGGGTTCTTTTTTTTCCAGATTTTTTTTATTTGAATTAGAAACAAGATTGTTTTTTATTTGGGTTCTTTTCAGAATACTTTAGCCCATTGTCACAGAAAGGCAGGGTGAAATGAGTTGGTCTATGCATCAGGACCGTACATACGGTGAATGCTCACATGTTGAGGGTAACTTTCAAAGACCCGCCTCTGGCCTACTTCTGCTGGTTCGAACCCACCTCCTACAAACTCCACAGACTCAAAATAGCACCATAAACTGAGAAGCAAGCATCTAAAATATGAGCTCCTGGAAGATACTTCAGATTCAAAACTTAGCAGATAATAAATGAAACCAGTTTTGACAGATTTTTTTAAACCATAATTAAAATTAAAACCAAGCTGAACATGGAGGCATGTACCTGTGGTGCCAGCTATTCAGGAGGCAGAGGCAGGAGACTGACCTAAGTGCAAGAGTTCAAGGCCAGCCAGAATAAAAGTGAGACCAGATCTCAAGAATAAATTAAAAGTAAAAATAACTGCTTTTTTTTGTGTGTGTCCAAGTGGCTTATGCTGTTTACTGACTTAAACTAGTTCCATAATTCAATACACTTATTCTTCACTCTGATTTCACACCCAAGGACAGATGTCCTGGATTAGGAGCTTGACAGTCTCCTGAATCTGAGTCACTAATGAACTTCTCCCTCTGTGAAAGAGAACCTGAAAATCTTCTGAGAATCTCTCCAAGCCGTGTACAGTCATCCACATGTGGGCCTGGATGCACAAAGATGAGACCCTTTCCTGAAAACCCATGTTCAATGGGAATCAATAGAAAAGGCCTGAGGCTTAAACTACTGCTGTGGAGTTTTGTCCACTTCATGAGAGACACTGGCAGGCTGCTGCAGCTGCCCCTGCCACGGATGCAGCTCAGATTCACCAGGAGAACAGTATTCTTTGGCAGGTATCCATTCAGCAAGCATTGATTGGAGCCATTCATCCCAGTTTTGCAGAAAGGAAAGGTCTTTCTGGTTCAGTTCCTGAAAGTGTTGATTGACAGCTGGAACCTGAGTAGAATCATCTACGGTTGGTACAGCCAAACCACTGTTCTCCCTGGGATCTTGCCATCTTTCTTGGATTAGGGGCCTTAAAGGAGCCTGAGTATGGAAGCCCTCCTCTCCTGGAGTTATTATAGGTGATAAGTGGCCAGTGTACACTGAAGAATTCTGACCATCACCCCTTCCCTGTACAACCTGGGAGGGCTGGAGTACTGTGGTCCTTGATAACTGCTTCTGACGGCCCATAGAGAGATCCAAAGGACCAAGTGGTGTGTGGGGTGGAGAAAGAGCTGGTGTAACTGACAAGCTGCTGGTGAGAGTTTTGGAAGGAGCAGATTGACCAGTAGCCTTCAGGGCAGGGCACTGGCTGTTCCGGGGCAGCTGAGCAGTTGCCTGAGTGCTATGTTTGTGGTCTGGATGCCGAGCTCTCCGGTTCTGAAACCATATCTAAAACACACACACCAAAAAAAAAGAGTACTGAATAGCAGAAGGGACTCCACCTGTTTCTTATAATTTGCCGCTAAGCAAAATGACAAGGGGACAAGGACCAAACTCTTCAAATGCAGGTTCTTGGTACTTGACTTTCTCCAACTAGATCCCACACTCCACATCTCTGCCACCTCCCAACAATCCATTCTTACTTTGAATAGATTCTTTGCAGTAATTAGCTCAGAGTTCTTCTGATCTAATGAGTTCTGGGAACACCCCATCTCACCCACACACCTGGAGATGGGCTTCACTAATCTTCAGTGTTTCTCAATCTAATTAAGTTGACAATCAAGACTAAGTAAGACATGGCACATGGCCATGGGTAAAAGAACACCATGATTGAAATTTAGAATCCACCCCTCTGATCCCCAGTGCTGATTCAGGGCAGGGTGAATTTCTGCCCACCAAGGAATATCTAAGTACATGGAACTTCCAGAGGGCATAGAAGCACATGGCTGATAGGATTATCTACGGGCATGCTTAGGAAGCATGCTTATTGATCTCTATAATATACAAAAACAGGGATTCTCAAAGTGGTCAAACAGTGCTCTAGATTTCTCAGGGTACAGTCAGAGGTAAGCTGGGGGCTAGGTATGCAGACATCCCATGCTTAGAAGATCTGGATGCTAATTAACATTCTAATACAAGACAACACCCTCATCCTCTGGTATGTATTTCCAGTATCTTTGAGGACTGGACACACTAACAAAGACTATATTCTCAAAACAAGTGGGGCTTTCCAGCTTTCCCAATCTCACCCCTTCCTTCCTTCCGCCCTTCCTTCCTTCCTTTCCTTCCTTCCTTCCTTCCTTCCTTCCTCCCTTCCTTCCTCCCTTCTTCTTTCCTTCCTTCCTTCCTTCCTTCCTTCCTTCCTTCCTTCCTTCCTGGCTTTTCAAGATAGAATGTCTCTGTGTAACAGTCTTAGCTGTCCTCGAACTTGATTTGTAGACCAGGCTGGCCTAGAGCTCACAGAGATCCACCTGCTTCTGCTTCCTGAGTGCCGGAATTAAAGGTGTGCACCACCACCCACCCTGCAAGCTGATTTTTATTTCCTACACTTCTGCATGTCTGATTCAATTGTTTCTACAGGATGTGGCCTGTAACACCAAGTGTCTACATCCCACACCTAGAGCAAAGGGGACAACCCCAAATAGCCTGCATTGGTCCAGCAACAGCTCAGGAGGGAAGCAGCTTACAGTAAGGACAAATAAGCTGACAGAGACAGAGAACCTATGCAACATACATGAATTCTGGATTCCGGGATGCCTGTTTGTTGAGCCAGTTTTTCCCTGGTAGCAATCCCTGGGAATCGATTCTTCTCGAAAGCTTCAATTAGAGTATCAATCTGCAATTTTGTGAAGTGTGTTCTGCTCCTTCCAGCTTCTTTAACTAATGAAAGCATAGGCACACAGCAGGGTTTGCAAGTCATTTTTCACATTCAAACTTTGGAGGTTAAAAAAACATCTTAAATATTGTTCTTACCACTTTTACTCTTAGAAGATGCTCCACCCCATACCACCAAGGAACCTTTTAACCTGTCTTGTCCATGAAGTGAAACCCCAGAGGTGGCAGGAGACAGCATCACTAAACAGCATGGAAATAAGGAAAGGGAAGCTTTTCTTGCTAAGAGACCATTCCCGTAGCCCAGGCTAGACTATGTAACCAGAAGTGACCTTGGACTTTCTTGATCCTCTCCTTTTACCTCCCCAGGCTAGGATTACAGCCACCACACCCAGTGAGATAATGTTTACATCTCTGACCCTAGCATTCCCAGAATATAATTATCTGTAATGGTCAGGTGGGTGGTAGTGCAGGCCTTTAGTGCTGTGGGGCAGAGATAGGCATATCTCAGTGAGTTCAAGGCCAGCCTGGTCTACAAAGTAAATTCCAGAACAGCCAGAGCTGTTACACAGAGAAACCCTGTCTTGAAAAATCATTTTTAAAAAATTGTCTATAATTGTTCCTGGTCTAAGCATTATGTACAGAATATTTCTCCATAACACACAGTTGTAGGTCTTACCTTTTGGTTTATCTTGTCCCTGGGTTTGGCTTTCTTCAAGGCAACAATCAAACTCCCCTTGTTTCTGTATTTTTCTGTGCTTTTGAAACCAAGTCTACATGGGGAAATAAAATGAGAGGGGGACACAGGATGCATCTCAGTCTAGACCACTCCAATGTCAACTAAACAAATTGATTGGGCATCTGTCCGTGAGACCATGTCCATAAGAGAAAGATACATAGACTTAATCTTTTAAAGTAATTCCCTTAAATAGGAAGGCAGAATTGACAACAAAACAGTGGAGTTAACACTAATTTCTGGGTATAGTTTACATTATTTCACTCCAGGGGAAGCCAGAAATAAGGAAACTCCCAGGGATGCCAACATCTAGTTTTAAAACTATTTCCACAGGCTGGAGAGATGGCCCAGCAGTTAAGAGCACAGGCACATAATGAGTTCAAGTCCCAGCACCCACATAAGGTGGCTCACAACCCCCCACCCCATAACTCCAGCTCCAGGGTATCTGACACCTCTGGTCTTTTGGGGCACTTGTACACACATACACATACTTAAAAATAACAAAGATAAGCTTAAAACTGTATTTACTGCTATGGTTAAGGAAACAGAAACTATAGGGTTTTTGGTTTTATTGGAGGATGTGAGGAGTGTGCTTGTTTTTTTTAGTTATTTCTCAGTATTTTCTTTGGACAACCTGATACTTCACTCTAGCATTTACAACCATTATTGGGCAAATGGCTAGGAATAGGCCTTGCAAACCTAAAACATCAATTCCAAGCTCTCTTCTCAAAGGCTCTACATGTTTTCCAGATTTGGTATTCAAAATAAGTTTTCAAATTAAAGCCTTATGAACAGCTGGAAGCTTCCAGCTAATGAGCAGATATAAATGTTCTCAGGAGCCACCAATACCCTACAAGGTTCTGAACTTCTCCATCAGTTCAAGTCTCTCGGGTACCCAGCCACCAGGTGTGCCCACATGGAACAATTTCATTAGTTTGAATCTCTCAGGTACCCAGCCACCAGGTGTGCCCACATGGAACAATTTCATTAGCATTATTTGTGTCAACCATCTCCCATACCAAGATAGTTTTTCAAGACATAAGAAAAATTTCCTCTCTCCGGGGTTTCCAAAGATTCAAGTCATTATACCAAATGATTATGCATCAAGTACAAAAACTTGGATTTATTTTCTCACCTCTAAAAGTTTAAAGATTTCTCTTCACTGGTTTAAATACCAATCCACTTGATAAAAATCATACAATGTACTACTCTAGTTCATCTTTATCTATAACATCAGTGATTTTATTAAAATAAACCATATAGAATTTTACACAATGCTTTTATGTAAATGACATTTGAGATTATAAAAGAAGGAGGAAGAAGAGGAAGAGGGAGAAGACTGAGGAAGAAAAAGAGTTATGGTGACACACCTTTAATCTCAGATCCCCAGAGGCCAAGGCAGACAGTTTTCTTAGTTTTAGGCCAAAGCTATCTTGGTCTATTTAGTGACATTCTGTATGGGGTACACTCCTTTAAGAGTGCTGGTACACCCAGCATTGGCTCTTCAAAGGCAGAGGCAGGCTGATTTAAGTTTGAGGCCATTCAGGACAGTGAGTTCCAGGACAGCCAGGGCTACACAGAGAAACCCTGTCTGGGAGGAAAAAAAGAAAGAACAAAAGAAAATAAGATTAAAGTAGGTAGGGAAAAGGAAGATGCCCAGAGGGACTGGAAGGAATTCAGAAAGGATGATTCCAATTGAAAACGTAATTAACTTAAAACTAATAATAAAGAATTGCCAAGAATCCATGGCTCACGCCTTTAATCCCAGCACTCAGGAGGCAGAGGCCGGTGGATCTCTGTGAGTTCAGGGCCAGCCTCGTCTACAGAGTGAGTTCCAGGGCTGGCTGCAAAGCTACACAGAGAAACCCTGTCTCGAAAATCAAAAAAATAAAATAACACTATTAATAAAGAATTGGGAAAAGAATAAAGGAGAAAAAAAGTACTAGCCTACAAACCAGCTATTTCTATGAGGTCTTAACTCCCCTATTTTTTCACAGATGTTAATTTTATTCCTTACACTCTCACAAGGGAAGGTTCTACATTACTATGCTGATGACATAATTTCTTATATTCTGTAATTCTCAAGATAATGATTTCATTATCTCCTAAGGAGAAAACCATGAGCTGGCTGTCCTTTCCCATCAGTGCAGGCTCAACCAATATTTCCTCCAATAAAATTTATGCAATGTTTCTGTTTTATCTTCCCATTGCATAAGGGATAAACTTAGCAAAATAGAGCACACCTATGAGAATCACCCAGAACTTGACTCTGAGAGAGGCCTAATGCCTACCATAATTTGAGACTCTGAGATGCCCAACTCCTTAGCCAGATGTCCCCTTGTAGCTAAATCTGGATTGGGATTCTTTTCAAACCACGCACGAAGAGTGTTCTTTTGATTCTGGTTCAGAATGATTCTCCTTCTTCGGGCTTCTTTTTCCAGTAGGCCTAGCAAAGAAAGATAAATGAAGACAAGAGAAGGACATCCTTCCTGGCATGAGCTACTGCCTTGCATGCTCCATCCTGAAAGACTAGACACACAGTGATGAGTGTGGATTTTTACTTTAGAGATATGTCTTAAGCCATGCCAATAAGGACATGCACAGATATAAACATGGATTTCAGAAACACTGACAATCATGTTAGACTAAAAACAAGAAATGACAGAAATTCCACAATAGTACATGAAAACAGAAAGCAGAGGGAACTAGAAACATGCAAATTAATGAAGCAAGTACATATTTTTTAAAGACTGAAAGGTTAAATTAGATTGCTAGGCAAAAGTTGAACTTTGGGATAAATGACATGTTTTAATAAAATGAAAAATTATTTAATTTATAAAAAGTATTATCATCCAAGGTGTCAACTTTAATATTCAAAGTAGAAGCATCCTTTTTAAGAGACCTAGCAGTCATTGTAAATTGAAAGTTGCAAGAATTTCAAAAGACTCATCCATTTACCCACCCATATTGCCACTAAAACCCAGTTCTTTCATTCTCCCTCAAACAGTGTAAAGATCATGATTGTGATGCTAAGTTCTGAGGTCTGGGGAAACAAAGCAGGCCTTGGGCATTGGCACAGGAATAAACAAATAGAAACATACCAAGAGTGCAGTTTAGATCCATACTGCAGTCACCTGGATCCCACGAGGCGAGTGGCCCAATAAGCTGCTCACAGAGACACAGGATTTATGAAAGCCCAGAGTGGCCCACCCATTCCTTAAATACCTGTTGCTTTCATCCCTTCATTAAATATACAACTGCACTGTGGCAAATCTTGATTGTCAACTTGATTGGATTAAGAGGTTCCTGGGAGATTAGTGGACCCGCCTCTGGGTGTGTCTGGGGTGTTTCCAGACAAGATTAGATCCTAAACCAGTTGAACAGATCACAGGTTTAACCCTTTGGTGGACTGACACTTAGAAGACTCTGGACAGGTGATGAACTGTGGATGCTGGCACTCAGTTGGAGGGATGATGAGACTGTGTGACTGTGAAGGACAGGGTGTATTCCTGTCATATCTCTCTCTCTCTCTCTCTCTCTCTCTCTCTCTCTCTCTCTCTGCAACCTTACTTCCAAGAAAAACAGCCTCAGACTCACTACCTTGAAATTCTGCCTGATCAGATCCCAAGCAGTGGACCCCAGTGACCACAGATAGACCTCTGAACCACTGAACAAGAAATTAATTCTTCCTCCTTCAAACTGTCTCCCTGAGGCAATGTAAAATGGAACTGACACAGCCATATAAGAGGAATCTGAAGTAATTACTTATACAAAGAAGAAGTTGAATTTAGAGAAAAAGTACAGACTTCTGGGTAATTTAGATCTGTTCTAATACCTTTCCATGTATGGTTTTATTTCTGAGCTCTCTAGAGGGTACCTGTATGTTATTTCTTCAGCATTTGCTGTGCTCAGGATGGAACCGAGTCTCAAACAAGCTAGGTAAGTGCCCTATCACTGCACTACAGCCCCAGCCCCTACTATTCATTTCACATTGTTTTATTTCCTAATTATCTTGACTTGACCATATTTTTGTTTTGTTTTGTTTTGTTTTGTTTTTTCGAGACAGGGTTTCTCTGTGGCTTTGGAGGCTGTCCTGGAACTAGCTCTTGTAGACCAGGCTGGCCTTGAACTCAGAGATCTGCCTGCCTCTGCCTCCCGAGTACTGGTATTAAAAGTGTGAGGCACCAACGCCCAGCTTTGACCATATTCCTTAATATATTAGGAGTCTTATCTTGTTTCATATTTCAAATTTTTCTCATCTTCTGCTTAAAACACACTTAATTTTTTTTTTTATTTTATCCTTGCTGGTCCATCTGATTGTTCGTTCATCCAATTGGCCAGCCCAAACTCTCTAGTACATTGACTCAACCTTAGTGTAGGTGTGCTGTGAATGTATTTGGCCCACGTGATTAAAGAGTAAAACTAGGTGACTTCAAGTAAAGCAGACTATCCAGTATGGGTGGGAATGACTCAGTAAGGAGGAAGAGAAAATAGTAAAGCTGGCACTAGCCTGAAGAAAGTCAACAATGGAGAGCTAGTACTGCAGCTCTGGCATGAGAAGTCCAGCCTGCTTCCCTCTTCTTCCCTAGCTGGCCCTGCTACTATACATGTGTATATGTGGATTACATACACACACCTTATGAGCATACATATATACACACTGGCAAAATACTATATTTTCCTTCTTTTATCTCATTATTATCTAATACAAGATACTTAATAACAATTAACTTCAGAGGCCAGAGAGATGGCTGAGCAGGTAGGGTTGCTTGTTGCCAAGCCCTGACAATCCAAGCTCAATTCACAGACCCCACATGGTAGGAGGAAAGAGCTAACTCCCACAAGATATCCTCTGACCTCCACATATACCATGGCATGAATGTACCCACCTTATACACACATAAGTAAAAAAGTAAGTGAATGAATAAATAACAACTTTATATAACCACATTCAAGGTATGGTAAGAAAAGAATGAACCTCACCCAAAAACCTTGTCCTTCTGAGAAAAATGTGTTCAGGGGAGAGTTATAGAAACTTAGAAGTGTGATCTTGGTTTTTTGTTTGTTTGTTTGTTTGGTTTTGGTTTTTTTGCATCTAAGAATAGCTTAGCAGAGACATAGGCATGCCAAGTTGGTAGAGCTGCCGTGCCTCTGTGGAAAATAACAGTGGAATTAAAACTGCTAGTGAGAAACCATTTCAGCTGTCTCTGCTGCTAAAGAGAAAAAGACAGTCCATGCTTTAGAAAGGCTGAGAGGCTCAGGGCAGCTGAGAAACAAACGGTCTTAGTTACTTTTCCGTCTGTGATCAAATACCCGATGAAAAAAGCAGCTTAAGAAAGGAAGAGTTCTTTTAGGCTCACAGTTCCAGGGCACAGTCCACCAAGCAGGGTAGTCAAGGCAGCAGGAGCCTGAAGCAGCTGGTCATATTGTTTCCGAAGTCAGGAAGAAGACAGCCAAAGTTGTCATGTCGCTGCTCAGCCAGCTTTCTCCTTTTTAATGCAATCTAGGACCCAAGCCCAAGTCCCAGGAATAGAGTAACCTGTTTTGAAAGTGGGTCTTCCCACCCCAATTATCCTAATTGAGATTAACTCGAAGGTGGACCAGGAGGCTTACCTCTAGGTTAGCCCAGACCATGTGGAGGTGATGATGAATTTTAACCATCACATATACCTCCACTATTCCTATCAAAGCTAGGTATGCACCCCATGGTGTCCATTCCAACACCAAGTTTTCTAGTTTGTTTTATCAGAAGTCAATTTTCAAAAATTGTTCGATGAACACTCAACATCGCCAATTTCCTATTGACTATATAGCCAAAAGTCACATTTCAATATGCACGTATTGTTAAAAACATGTTTTGTTGACAAGATATATTCTTGTGGCTTGGCATAAAATACACTGTTGTTTTTCACTTAAAAAATATTTACCATAACAAAGGGGAAAAAACAGACAATAAATTGGGAGCCACTAAAGCTAAGTGAAATCAGTTGCATTAATTAACCTTTATAGAGTGTGTTACAGATATCTGTGTATGATACCAGTGTTAGTTCCAAAAAAGCCACGTGACTAAACTAATGAAAAAAATATGCGTGTGGAAAAAATACTATCTACACCCACAGGATCCTACCCATACGATAAAGTAAGGGAAAACCCAGTAGCCTCTGATCCCCCTATGTATTTGCAAATTAAAGAGAGATGGGGATTTAGCCTGGGTGTTTTAGTCAAGCAGCAGAAATTACCCAATTAGGGGAATCGCATCTGAAACTGAAGGATGTGGAAAACATCTCTCCAGCAGCAACTTGGTGTCCCACTGATACTACCTCGTCCTCTTCGTAATGTCCTCCTCTCCCCTCTCCACAGACCCCCTTCCCCACTGTTTCAGAAGAGGAAAATGTTTGCTTTCTGGGGTAAGATGGCGGATTGGACGCTTCCTCCATGCAACTCCGGGATAGAAGAGTCAGGGTAACAAAGCACAGACCATATTCCCAAGACAGAAAGAACGGAAAAGCATCAGAAAGAGGTGACAAGACAGATGAAAAGGGCTGGGAAAATAGAAAGACTATGGCAAGGACAGGCGGAAGCAATCTGAACCCAATCAGGAGCCCCAACCACGCATAAGGCTGTCAGCCCTAGTGACAAAAGACTGGCAGTCCCAGCTGCAGGATAAACCCACTGTTCTCACAAGCCTTAATCCAGGTGGGGGAGGGGAGATAATGCCTCCTCCGGAGGGCCCGCTAGCTGCGAAGAAATCCTGAATCCAGTCCCTCCATCCAAACCCCTACCCAACCCGGTGTTTCAGGAGTGCAGTGCAATAGCAGAAGCCTGGTCGAGAAAGGACCTATTGTTTGAGACTAGGCTACCCTGAGACTCCGAAAACAAGGAACAGTCATAAGTCAGCGAGCATGGGGCCACTCTGCCTCAGAGCCAGAGTGGCTGACCGCTACCAGGCGCAGATGCGAAGAGGGAGGGTGGGATATGGGCGGTCTGGGAAGTTTTAGGGGGCGGGAGCTCAGAGGGGGGTGCCCCCTCCCTGAGAGCAGGCCCCACAACCCGCGGATCCCAGCAAAGACAGAGAGATCCAAGTCCTGGCTGGCGGATTCCTCCTCCTCTGGAGTTGCCTCCAGTCTGTTTCATAAGGAAACAAAGCGCCAAGAGCCCAGAGCTGGCAGACGGCTCTATTTCCAACAGGGAGGTTTGCTGCTGGGCTGGTCTGAGTGCCGGAACCCTACAGACAGCTTGGCACACCCGACCACGTGCAGAAATCCGCATTCCTTGATTCCCCAATCTGATTGCCCACTCCGGGGACACCATTTTTTATTATTTATTATGTATACAGTGATCTGCCTGCAGGCCAGAAGGTGGCACTAGATCTCATTACAGATGGTTGTGAGCCATCCTGTGGTTGCTGGGAATTTAACTCAGGACCTTTGGAAGAGCAGGCAGTGCTCCTAACCACTGAGCCATCTCTACAGCCCAGGCTTAGATTGGGAAGCTGTCTGGCCCACAAGCCACAAAGTTTACAGCCAGCAGCAGCTGTCAGGGAAGGAAAGCAAATAGAGTGAATGTCTCTTTAACCTGACAGCCCACCCTTGACGAAGGCAGACCCCCTCTTTCTAAGCAGGAGGCTTTTTCAAACTGACTCACACCTGGCAGATTCTAGTACTTTAGTTTCTGGTTTCTCTCCATCAATTTTTTTTTCTTTTGACTATATTATGTTTCTACTTTATTGACATTTAATTCTTTGTTCCTCTTTTCTCTTTAACTTTACTTCCATACTTTCGATTTTCAATTCATATTTACAGCCTTGTCATTTTCCTTATATTCCTTTCTCTGTTTTTTTTGGGTTTTTTGAGACAGGGTTTCTCTGTATTGCTTTGGAGGGTGTCCTGGAACTCGATCTGTAAACCAGGCTGGCCTAGAACTCAGAGATCTGCCTGTCTCTGCCTCCCAAGTGCTGGGATTAAAGGCATGAGCCACCAATACCCAGCTTATTTTCATTATTTTATTTTTACTGTTATCTTTATTAATTTAAGACTTTTATTGATGTACGTTAATTATGCATAACAATTGTTCTGGTCACTGGGCATTGGTGGCTCATGCCTTTAATCCAAGCATTCAGGAGG